CAGTTGTAAGCACTGTGTAACTGCCTCGAGGGTGCTTGACCATTTTAACACAACGTGGTGCCATCATCCCCCTTGCGCGGAGTGAGGGTTCTCCACCCCGCACAACAGGATGTAGCCTAACCACCACTATGGTTACCGCCAAAAACAACAGAGGTAAAAAAAGAAAGCGGTAACCTGGTTTCTGAGTTCACGAAGTGACTTGGCTTGTTTCACAACGTCGTTGCCAAGCGACGACAACCCAAACCTGATGGCAAACACCGAGGAGGGGGGGTGGGGGTAAAGAGAGTAACGGTGGCGACAAACACAACCGGGTTAGGTTGAAGAGGACAAGTACCTTCTGGATCACAAGCAACAAGAAAGGCTGTCATTGGGAGAGATAGCTGTACAGCAGCAGTTGTATGTTGTACATAGCACAGCAGCCGGGTGTGAAGAAGAAACTGAACGGCGCTTGCCGGAGGACAGAGAACGGCTCGACAAAAGGTTTCAGGGTTGAATGTTTAGGGGAGACAGGAACAACTGCACCGCGGACATGTCCTCGTTTCGAGGGCAGGAGAACAAACCCGACGCGTACGATTTGTTTTGAACCGGAAACAGATGATGACCGAAATTCTGATGGAGCTACAAACACAGGACATGATTCCGTGTGAGGGTGGGGGGGGCGTCTAGAAAACCGCAAGAGAGAGCGACCACGACGGCTTCAATGGTGAGCGAGGAGGAGGTCGAAAGGACAAGTAACACCAGGACCAGACCTCCCTGCCGTTCGAAATATCTCCAAATATCTCCAAGAAATTTCCTGGTGCAGGAAGGCCGTCGGCGGTGTCAAATCGCGGCCTTCTAGTGCGGCGACCAGAATGAGACGTATTCCCCTGCTGAGCAAGTGCGTCCACGGATATTGCCTCCCGAGAGTGAGCATTGGCGTACCCGGTCCAACATGTTCACTGACTATTACAAGCTAGCGTTGCTTGGGGAGAATCATCATCACCCGCACTGCTCTCTTCAAGAGCCGGATGTCTGGGTGTGCGAGCGTGTGCTGCGCAACGCCAGACATCAACAACACTTTCGAAGCGGATACGGACTAGTGGCGCTGGTCAGCTGCGCGCGTAGATCAGATTCGTTCATCCGAGTGTTGACCCTAGCCAAGGGTGGGTGGGCACGGCGGTAGGTGCCGTCCTGCTGCCGCATATCGTGACAACTTCATCGCGATGCGTTGAAAAAAAAAAACAGCGCAGGGTTGGTCTCCAATCACGCTTATGCCATGACAGCGTCCAATGGTTCCATGCCACCATCAACACACCCACATGAAAAGGAGGAACACAAAACACAAAACACGAGACCCCGCACAACGAAAACAACTATTCAACCTATTTCAACCAATGTACGACCAACGTCGACCTCTTTCAAAATACCATTCTCCCTCCCTCCCTCTCTCAATCTTACCAACAAACGGCGTGAGCGGCGACATGAAAATCATGTCGGGGTCGACGAGGGCGACTACCGCCTCATGCACCGGGTAATCCGCGCTCTTCAGATAGTGGGCCATGCCGTTCGGCTTGTTGTAGAACATGAACCTTTTGGGTGCAATGCACGTAGAGTTAGTTGCGCACAAGCGGGGGGCACGTATTCATCAATGTAAAATAAATTGGTGCTTGGGGGGGAGTGACGGCAATGACCACAGAAACCACAGCCGCACGTGAGACTGCCATCGCCGGCGACTTAACAATCCTGGGGTATATGGCCACTGAGAGATTTGGCTGACTCCCTCTCTCCCTATCTCTCTTTCTGGCTCTCTCCAGCCGAAGATCACAAAAAAAAAAACGAGACAGCAGATGGGCCGGACGGATCGGCGCAGACAAAACAGGTCCAACAGAGCGTCACAGCGAAACACTCCCAGACAAAGGTCTCGAGGGAGGGGGGCAACGCGGACAATATCGAAATGATCTCCCCCCCCCTTCTCCCCCCCGGTGGTGTTTGTCATCGGGGTTGGGCTTTCGTCGCTTGGCAACGACGTTGTAAAACAAGTCCCCCCATCGGTGTTTGCCATCGGGGTTGGGTTTTCGTCTCTTGGCAACGACGTTGTGAAAACAAGCCAATTCATTTCGTGAACTCGGCAAACCGGTTACCGTTTTTTTTTTCTACCTCTATTTTTTTGGCGGTAACTATAGTGGTGGTCGAGTGGATCATGTTGTGTGGGGTCGAGAACCCTCACTCCGTGCAAGGGGGATGATCGCACCACGTTGTGTTAAAATGGTCAAGCGCCCTCGAGGCAGTTGCACAGTGCTTACAACTGTCTCAGGAAGTGAAAGCACCAGAAAATAAATTAAGTCATACGCAGCTGTCATCCGTACGCAAGGAAAGTAAGCACAAGATGCCAAAAACCCTTAGCAGGATGCAGCGCACCCTTCATGCGACTCGCCGAATATCTCACGGCGCTTCGCGCTTGGTGATGTGAGAGCCTGGTCCGGTGAGAACCCGGCGTGCTCCGTCCCGGCTTTGTAGGGATGCGAGGTCAATGGTCTAACGACTACGGCATGCACGACAATGAGTACACCCCCCCCCCTGCTTGCTGGCCGTACGGTACGCGCACCTCACTCATCGGCTTGCCCTCGGATGAAAGTCCTCGATTAGCTGAGCTAGGAAGCAGCAACAATGACACATATAATACAGCAGCTGATGAGAGCGACGCACAATAGCAAACACGTGCACACAGCGTCGAGCGAGCCGGCCACGTGCGCTTACCGCTCCCCCGTCTCTGGGTCGAAGCTGTAGTCCGGGGTAAAGTGCACGTGGAATCGCTCCGGCTGTCTCATCATGTAGACCTCCAGCTCCAACCTCTCGTCTCTCGTGCAGCCGCTGGCCACACGAGTCACGCGCCCCTTCTGCCCAACCATCTGATGCCATGCACACGCGCACGCACAATGCACGCAGCCGATTTTGACAAAAGGGGGAAGCAACGCGGCAGGTGATTCAAACACACACAGACAGAGCGAGCGAGACAGAGAGTGAGAGAACTAGGAGTGGTGTTACCGACCGGTCCTGCTGCAGAATCAAAGTACAATGGACCAAGCGGCGGGCGTTCCCTCCTGTTTGGGCGTTTTTGACTGATACCTACCGCACGAGAGGAGTTTTGGACAAGCTTGTGCCTACAGCAGTACATGCCAATAGCCACCTCTCCGGGGGGGGGGGGGGGGNNNNAAAGCCGGGACGGAGCACGCCGGGTTCTCACCGGACCAGGCTCTCACATCACCAAGCGCGAAGCGCCGTGAGATATCCGGCGAGTCGCATGAAGGGTGCGCTGCATCCTGCTAAGGGTTTTCGGCATCTTGTGCTTACTTCCTTGC